GTCCCCTCTCTTCCTTCCAGTTGCTCCCGAGTCCCGCTCAGCTAGCCACTCGGCAGCCTTGCAGGGAGACTCGTCCTCCCTCCCTCTGCCAGGAGTGGCTAGACGACCCGGAAGAGAACGGTGCGATTGGAAGGGATGAGTGGGGCCAGCGGTGGAGGTGGAGTAGTGAGTGGACAGTCTGGCCCCAGAAGCTGGACCCTCGTTAACTCTAGCTGCGCTGCAGTATTCATTTACGATTAATTTAAAAATCTTTTTGAAACCGACTGAACTGTCAAAGTGCAGTTAAATCACTTGGAAGATCTATCACTCTCTTGAATTTCTGCCTCAACTTGGGTGGGTTGTACTTCAAATGAAGTTGGGAAATGGGATCACTTGTATTTTTTGTAACTTTAATGCTCCTGTTCTAGTAATGCTCTTATCTAACATTTGAATCTAGTGTTTATTTAATTCTTTTTAAATATTTGATAACCATTTTTAACTTTGAGATATTATCTTTTTAAATAATGTGAGCAGCCTTGGGTCCTTTTTTTAGAAGAAAGGTGGGGAAAAAAGGTTAAATAAATGAAATAAATGACTAAATGAGTGGGTGGGGGTGAAGAAAAGTGCTTTCGTTTGAAAACAATATCTGTTTCCAAATGAGGAGTCGAGTGCCATTTTATTTCATTGTTTAACCATTTCCCCCTTTCTCTAAGCAGGAGCGAGCCAAAGTATTAAGAAGCCAGCCTGCTCAGACCGTGGGGCCCAAAGGACTTCTCTATGTCCAGCAAAGAGAATTTGCAGCAACTACTCCTAAGGATGGTAAGGGGCCATTGAAAAATGACTGCTCAAAAGTCAAGAAACAGGGGCCACATTCTCACTCCTGCTCCATTCTGCTTTTCAACAGGTTCTGTTTCTGTTCTTGGATCAGAGGATGCCACTACCTGTCACTTAGTTGTACTTCAGCACACTGGTACTTCACATCTGTTTTCTTCTTCTCTGTCCTGCTTCAGTACAGTAAGACCCCCCCTTATCTTCAGGATCAGGATCTGCTGATTCAATTGTCCACGGTCTGAAAGTATTAAAAGAAAAATCCCCCTCCAAATACATTTTTAAGAATGAAGTTACAAGAACTGGCCACTAGGGGGATTCAGAGATCATGTTAGGCGTTTGCTATTAAACTAGCTTTCTGCATTTTTCAGCATCCACGGATATGGGGGTCCTGGTGTACTAACTCATAAATGGCAGAGGTTCAGCATGCTTGTCCATTTTCAAACAGCCATGGGGAACCCCACTGTTTTCGGATCGCCGTCCTTGACTACTGCCCATGCTGTTTGAAGCAGAGAGGGGCGTGGGAGTCAAAGACGCTAAGCTGTGGTTTAGAAAATACAGCAAAACGGAGATGCCTCTTTGCTTGCCAGATTTGTTGGCTTATATCATTGGTTTTGATTACTCCGGGAAAGGTGAAGATGTAGAGGTGATAGCTGATTAGGGGGCTTGTGAGAGCAGTAGTCCAACAGGGAAGGAAGCTTTATGCCTTGGGACGGAATGCAGTCATTTTGAGGTCCCCTAGAAGGCCGTGTTTCCTATACAATTATTGATGGTGTATTTGCAAATCTGGAAGTCCAGGTACTCATCTGCACAATCACCACAGCTAGCTCCCTCGTGAAGGAGAATCCTACAATGCAAGCCACTGAACTGGGGCATATTATCTCATGAGGAACAGGTCTTCTGTAATATTAATGGCTCTTAATTGCCCATTCAAGATCAAATCACATTTTACCGCAATGGCTTAGTTACCTTTCAGCTAAAATATACTGTTGCTTTTGGCCCTGGCGATGCCCATCGCTGGATTATGGCCTGTGAGAACTTCTCTGAAGTTCTGTGCAGTCCTTGGGCTGAAAGCCCTTTGCTCTTTGGGGGTACGGGACATGGATCCTGCCCCTGCAATGACCAGATGGGTTGGGTGGGTTCAACAAGACATCTGTGTTGTTGTGAGGGATTGCTTTCAGGTTGAGAGATGGGATTGGCTCTCGGGGGAGTCAGTGAGACGTATATCTTGCTCTTTAGTATAGCTACAGCAAAGATCTTCCCTACCTTCTTTCTAATTTGAGTTTTTCTGAAACAAAAGAGAAAAGGAGGTACAGGGTCAGTCCAGAAGTACATGTTTGTGCAGCAGGACTTGTGTAGGTTCAGTTCTTCTACAAAAAACAAAGGATTCCTAGATTTGGATCCATTTTCTACTGCATTACGCAATGCAGAGTGGAAGGTTGATGATGTAAAGTGTCCTCCCTCTGACTCTGGTTGGCTCCCCATCACATGGCTGTTCTCATGTTTGCGAAGCTGGTCGTGCCACTGGGTACATCACTGGGATCCTGCAGGAGCAGAGGGAAGCTGGGTGTGATGACCTTTCTTCTCCACATTTCTGCAGTAGGAGTCTGGCTTTAGGGGGTGTTCAGTCCACCACCTATTCCGCAATTCAAAGTGTCCGTCTGGACTTCCTCTGAGCCACTGTTTTGCATCTGGATCAGGTTAGCGTTCCTAATTTAAAACAAAAACAAAAAACTAACCATGATCATCTGAGCCTGATGTCTCTACTTCTCCAAGCAAGAGTCCTGGAAAGATGGTCCCTTTTTTAATCCCCCCCCCAGGTAGTGGGGCTACCTGCCTGACTCACTGTGATGGATCAGATACAGAAATGGAGGTGTTATTAATTACGAATGCTGTCAAAGTGCTTTCTCCTAACCCAGAATGTGGAAGGTCAGTTTTTCACAGAAAGACTTCTCAGACTTTTTAGAGCAGTTAAGTGGTAATAAATAAAACATGTTTGTGCATGCACAGAGACGCACACAAACACACAGACAGATGTATGGTTTTTAAATAAATATGCATATATCCCAATAAGGAAGCCTTTAGAGGTTGTTTAAAGAAGTTTGAGGGAAACTTACACTTGAATAAACAAATATTTGTTACCATTCAGTGCTCGGGAGAAACAGTTTTAATATTTTCCACTACATACCTTATAAGAGTAGTTCACTCACAGCAAAAGTAAACGGGATAAATTGGAAACATTCAATTTACTTTATTCAGACCTGCTGATAAAAATGGACCCTATTCATCTGAAGCTTTCTTGTGCTTTACAAATGGTACATCTTGCATTAATTGACTCTAATGCTGTTTTCAGGTTGGAAGTACACCTGGTTGGAGGTTTCAGGGATGACAGGCGCTTATCCCAGGAACTTACCAATCAACTCCTGCGTAAGTTCACCTTTGCTTTCCTGCTCTTTCAGTCAACTTGTAGGGGTTTGATTGAGATTAATTTTTCTGAACTGAAGTTTGCAAAACCTATTAGAGATTAGAACTGGAAGAGGCCACGAGGGCTGAGTCCAATCGGCATATCTCTTGCCCTACTTTGTTTCCTGCTAGGCATGGGGAGAGGGCCGCTACGTAGGGTGCTACTTGCCGAAAGTTCTGCTCAGTCAGACCTGGAACCGAACTGTTCTCTCCCAACCAGCATAACTGCTGGCTCGGTCTCAGCCCATGAAAGCTCCATGTAGACATTGCATCAAACCGTGGTTAATGAAAGGAAACCTTGGCTTAGCGCGATGTGTACAAGGTCAAGTCTTGATTTGTGATTACTTGACAAACTCAGACCAGAAATTTTCATTTAATCTGGTCTGGTGATCTTAAGAGCTTTGCTGACTGTGGATCAGAGCTGTGTCTGAACAGCCAGCCACAATTAGGCAATGGTGGGGCTGCCCTAGGAGACTCTGGTGATTTCCTTGTTGTGTCTGGGAGAGGCTGTACTCTGAGCGCTTGATGTCTCTTCTTGAACGTGTATTGCTGCTGGATAAATGCCTGAGGTGTGTAGATTTGTGCCTCTGGCAGTTTGAGTCCCGAAATAGAATCCTGCACCCTCTAGTTGTCAACCACTTGGATACAAAGGGCAGGATCCTAGTAGGAATGTGGAATGCAACGGTTCCCGGCGATCTCCAGCTTGTAGTTACGCAAGCCGGTTGAAAGCAGTGAGACTTTTCTGCTTACACAGAAGCGGCAGTGAATGCCTTTTTAGGCCACCACTAACGAGTGCATTTTTCTGCCAACACTGAGCATGAAATAGACTCTTATGGGCACAGAAAAAGGAAGCATGATCTTGCAATAATGCAAGTCAAATAAATAGGCTTTGTACTGCGGTTTGTGTCACTTTTTTCAGTGGAAGTTTCATTTGTTTCCATGCCTAGGAGCATTTGACCACTTGCAGGACTCTATCCATTTAGTGACATTCTGTGTGACAGGTAACTATTTCACCTTGGTGCCTAATTCGTGGCTCTTCCCCTCCTGTGCCCTATCCTCCCCCCTCCTTGGCCTCGGGGGGGGGGCTGTATTTCTTGGACCTTTTTCTAGCCAGAGTTTCACACTGGCTCTCGGCCAAGCAGCCTTTCACTTCCCTTATCCTAAGCTTTGGTGTTTTTTTTTTTAGCACTTCCTTTTTTAACTTTGAGGAATTCTTTTCACTGTTTCTCTCCTCTTCTTTTAAATAACAGAACTGAATGACCGGCAGGAAAATGGAAATCATTTCCCATTTATTTATGGAATTGGTAAGTAACATTCAAATTTGGTATCTGCTTAACAAATGACAATTGGCACATACTCAGGACAAGGTTCAAGTTGTGTTTGTGTGTGTGTGTGTTGTACTTCTTTTCTTTCACATGTTTCTTTTCCTTTTGTTCAAAGGGATTTCAAGGTCTGTTATTTTGCCTGATTTCACTTGAGCAGAATCTTCTAACTTTTAGGCCCAGTTCAGATATAAAGCCAAAGGATGGGTTTCTGCTATATCTGAAACTAAAAAATACCTTCCCAAGTCTTAGAGTTGCATGTTTCCCTTTCCCTTCTTACACATGAGGAAATTGAACATGTTCGCTTTTGAACTAGCCACGTTTCTTGTGATTTCCAAACTCAGAATCTTTAGTCTGCATAAACCAAAGTGAGGAAGCTGTGACTTTCCAGAGGCTTGCCTCTCCCATTAGTTTGACCCATGATGGCCAATGGAAGGGGGCATCGTAGAGGATAACAGATAGCAGGTACCAAAACAGGTAGAGGATAAAGTTGTCCTTGTTTAATTAGAGAATCATAGGGTTGGAAGAGATCTCAAAAGCAGCTCGGCCAAGCCCCTGCCAAAGCAAGACACCTGCAAATACAGCATCTGCCTTTGGGGTCAAAAGCCTGTGTTTAAAATCTGCTGATTAAGGAGAACACATCACTTTCCAAGGCAGTCTGTTTCTCTATAAACTATACATACTGTCAGGGGTATCTTCTTAATGTCATAATCCCCTTTGTTGTAATTTGCATACATTGGTTTGCATCCTGCCCTCTGGAAAAATTGACAATAGTCTTGTTTCAACTTCTATGTGGGTATTCTCTTGCGTTCTGATTCTGTTTTTCCAGGTGTAAATGTTAAAACAGGAGATATTTTCCATGCAACATTTCCAGACCGGGGACCTGATGAAGATTTGCGATCTGCCAGTACCTTAACAGGAGCTAAAGTAAGTGGAGAAAAAGTTTGCAGAATTTTGAGGAAATTAGAAATAAAATAATTCATGATACAGCAAACGGTGTAGGATTGCCTTCCTTATATCACAGGGCTGTCTGTATACCTGTGTTGGGAATGTATGTATACACAGATGTACACACATTCCTGTTTCAGTAAAAAACATAAAACAAAATAAAGGCAAAAAAAGTCATTGTGGCACTTTAAAGACTAACTGCTATATTTCAATGTAAGCTTTCGTGGAACATTGTCCACTTCTTCAGACAAATGAGTTAGAATACAGAGACTTTGTGCAAGAGACAGTGGTGTCTGATTGCATTTCACTCCTAGTAATGATTTAGGATAACCCTTGTTTGATATTCTGTTCTTTTGAAGTCTGGTTCTGAAAAAATTAAGGAAACAACAGAGGAACAACATGTGGTAATGTTGAGAATGACAGACTTTACCTTTTGAACCTTGTTCTGAAAAGATGGGTCTAGTAGTTATGACGAAAACTAACAGTAGCTAACAGCATCATTATTACATTTATGCTGTTATTGAGTTAAGAAACCTTGGCTGATATTTAATCCATTGAGATGGGAGTCCAGTATCTCTCTCTCTCTCTAATGCAGAGGGGCACTATTGGCAAAAAGTAGCATATATCACATTAGCAGAGGAACAAGTCAAGGCGCCCTTGATGTTGTGGGTGACTTTGTTGGGTTGTGTGATAGTGCTGCTAGAGTAAATGTGGGGGCAGAGCTCGCATCTGGGTTTGAAGCAGGACATAGTCCCCATTGTTGTATCCGTGTTATGTGTCAGTAGTTGCTTGAGATTGTGGAGTTGTCTGTAAGTAAATTTAAGCCTGCAACCAATTGCTTGAGAGAGCTAAATCCTAGAGATACTTGGGTGACATTGTTGGGTTGTGTGATAGTGCTGCTAGAGTAAATGTGGGGGCAGAGCTCGCATCTGGGTTTGAAGCAGGACATAGTCCCCATTGTTGTATCAGTGTTATGTGTCAGTAGTTGCTTGAGATTGTGGAGTTGTCTGTAAGTAAATTTAAGCCTGCAACCAATTGCTTGAGAGAGCTAAATCCTAGAGATACTTGACCAGGAACATAAATCTTAGCATGGACCAATCCACACAACACATGCATTTTCTTGACACCATTGTGAAGCTTCAACATGAGCATTTTAGCACTACACTTTATTGGAAATGTACTTTCATATATCTACCTGCATGCCCCTAGCTTCCATCCTGAACAAATCACTAAATCTAGCATTTACAGCCATGTCCTCAAATACAGCCAAGCCCTCAGATACCATTACATCTGCTTTGACCCACAAGATAGATCAAATTCAAGGATCTCCAACACACGTTTCTCAAACTATAATACCTGTGCAATATGGCTAGAGGAAAAAATCCTAGTGACGAGGGAGAATACCAAGTGCAGGGGGTGAGCATAAGGAGGAGAATGATCCAGTGGAGCAGGACTGTCCAGAAGTACGTTGTGTCCTGGGAGCTCCGTAGTCGTCTTCAGGGCCTCCCTTTGGGGGAGGAAATGGGGCAGCAGCCTCAAGCTTCAGAGAAGAGCAGAGAAGAGGCCACAGAGGATTCTGTGGAGGGAAGGATTTTGGCTACTTTGCAGGGGAACAGCTGTTGGGCAGCGGCAGGAGGTGATTCCCTACCTGTTTGTGGACCTGACACAGTTGAGCATATTGAAAGCGACTAGGGGGCCCTGGCTAGGAAAATAAAGTTACCTTGCAGCACAGATGGGTTTTTTTAATAACTCCTTTCTGTTGAAGGTTGAGGTGCAGGAAGTGAGACAAAACTACTGGCTGCACAAATAGTGTCATTGGGAGACACTTGACTTCTCAGACCGCACTAAGAACGGATTCTTGAAAGGTAGTCGTACAGAGGAGGGGCAGGATCTCTTCCCAGTCATTGCAGAGTGCAGGACACATAATGATGGTTTCAAGGTACAGGAAGCCAGATTTAAGCTGATCCAGGAGAAGCCCTTAAACTGTTAGAGCAGTATGACAATGGAACCAATTACCTTGGGGAGGTAGCGAGCACTACAATGCTGGAGGCATTCAAAAGAAAATTGGACCACCTTCTGTCGGATCTGCTTTGATTTGGATTCCTGCCTTGAGCAGGGGGTTGGACTCGATGGCCTTATAGGTCCCTTCCAATTCATTTGTTCTATGATTTTATGATTCCTGGGAAGAAATGAAGTGCACCTCACAGACATTGGGAAGAGCATGTTTGCTAGGAGTCTATAAAACCTGGTATGGGGGGCTTTAAACTGAATTTCGACAAGGAAAGAGACTTGGGTCATGAGGTACTAGGGAAAGAAAAGTCAGTGAAGCATCCAAATCTAGGGTGGTGGTACAGGAACCTGTCATTGGATGGAAGAAGGCAGTGAAGAAGGGAATGGCTCATGGTTTCCAATATTTCTGTATCAGAGCATGGGAAACAGCTAAGATAAGTTTGAACTACAGTATTGATGAATAAAGGCAAAGAGGGTGCAGTAGGCTTTATCAAAATCTTGTGGGATGAGACTCATGTCTTGAAGTCGGTAATTGAAAAGTATAACATATTCAAAAGAACTAGACTAAATACAAAGGGAAGAGTAATTGCATAATATGTAAAATATATGTGCATGTATTGAGAGCGTTTGAACAACAGTCAAAAGAGAGAGAGAAAAATAACAATGTGACCGTGGCCAATCTGTTACAGATCTCTAAGCCAGACTGAAAGCTTGAATGATGCCTTCCTAGATCGGACTACTAAACATTCAAAGAAAAGAGATATATACCTTATTTTTCTGTGTATAAAGCGATAATTTTGTCTAGAACATTTAGACTAAAAATTGAGGAAGTAAACTGAGAACAAAAACAAGTGGAGGAGAAGGGATCAAAGCGATCCTGCTGCGCTTTGATCACTGCTTCCCCCCTCCTTTTGCTAAGCCCCGGGCTTAGGAAGTGGCGAGGAAAGCAGCGATCAAATTTTCTAATTTGGGGTTAGAAAAGTGGGGGTCGTCTTATACATTGGGGCGTCTTATAAACGGAAAAATATGGTAGTAGTAAATAGATGCTATACTGTAACTGCTGTGATGTTTGCTGAACATCTAACTTGGTTAATATGGTTCGACCAAGAGGGGACAGGCAGCTTTCCTTTAGTTTAAATTAAATATTTTCAGTGTCTGACCTGGGTTCCACTGCCATAAATTTAAGCAAACAGAGTTTTGTTTATTGTTAGCATTAGGAAGCCCCTTCTGACGGAGATGATCTGCAGTGGAATGCTCTCTCTAGAAAGGTAACGGGACTCGCAGCTTGTTATCTGCCCATCCATGGATGCGTACATTCCAGTTCTAAAACTGTCGCAGGGCAGGTCGTGGTCGCCAGAGCCCTTTGAAAGTGTCCCCTTTCTCCTGTCATTGCAGATGGTTAACATTTATGACTCAAGAAAAGAGCAACTCTGTATTGGGCCTTACTACTGGATGCCTTCCCCCGTTGTAGATTTTTGGCTGGAGCAGGATGATCAATACATATTGCAGGTAAGCCAGGGTTTTTCCAAGAGGTAAAGGATAAGGTGCATGTGGTTCCCATCCTTCTCCTTTTACCCTACAGGGGGCAAGATGGGGGCGGAGGAGGGATTGGATTCAGTCTCCCAGCCCTCGCCACAGATTGCAGCAGGCCCAGAAATGGCTAAGCACAGACTACAAACAAACACAAACTACCAACCTAAACAGCAAGTGCTTGAATGGCCATTTCTGGTTTCTTTGTTGGGGAATGCTGGGGTCCCCACCCCGCTGGCCCAATCCAGGAGCAGAAAACGGTTGCTTCTAGGAGCTGTTTTGGCTTAAGAGACCTTTGGGTGGCGTATAAGTTAAGTAAGTAAGTAAGTAAGTAAGTAAGTAAGTAAGTAAGTAAGTAAGTAAGTAAGTAAGTAAGTAAGTAAGTAAGTAAGTAAGTAAGTAAGTAAGTAAGTAAGTAAGTAAGTAAGTAAGTAAGAAATAAGGCAGTTCTGAGACAAAAAATAATAAAATAAAGGGCTCAGTTGAACTTGGGGGGGCCTCTAAGGCTCCAAAACTGCCTGGTGTCCCACTGACTACAGGTTGCTCACTCTTGCTTTGTTCTCACTATAACCCTCCAGACTGAAAGACAGCAGTTGGGCCAAACAAAGATGAGAGTTTCACAGTCAAGTAGGGATGTAAATTTGGGTGTTCCTCAGTCCTAGTCTGGTGCAGTGAACATGATTCCAATCTGGTACTTACCTGCTCAAGATGTACTGTCTTCGATATGTGTTTCAGAAAGGATAGCACTATAGGACCCCCACATCTGACGTGGATTATAGTAAGCACTATTTTAATAGTGAACCCAATGTATACTGGCCATTTTTGGTAACTTTATCTTAAGAAATATATATTTCTAGGAATTTTCTTTTACTGTCTTTCAATTTTTTCAGACCATGGATAAGTGAATCAGTAAATACTGATCTCGCAGATATGAAGGTCCTACTGTATTTCAGTCAAGCGTAACAAGCAAGCTATACTAACTTGTACAATTTTAATCTGCAGACTTTGTCTACTTCGCCTTTGGCTGAACCACCTCACTTCGTTTCCCATATAAGAGCAACCCTGATGTACTTAAAAGAGCACCCTTTTCCAGATATGACTCTTTTCCCTAGCAAGAAACCTTGGATATACAAGAAGAACAGCAATGGCCTCTGGGAGAGAGTCTCTTCAGATCAGATCTGATCATAACAAGAAGCTAAGAAAACTCTTGAAGATGCGTTCTGCCAAAGGAAGAGTGGCCTTTCCGAGTGCTTCGTAAATTGCTTCATAAGTAGAGATAGGGGTATTCGTATAAAAATATCCCCCACAGGTGCACATATGCACCGTCCGCTCACAATTCTGCCCCTGCTGCGGGCTCCGTGCTCCCTCCCTATCACTCTGGAGCTCGCGATGGATTAACCACTTTTGGCAGAAGACGGGATAACGAGACTCTCTGCTAGGTTGACGAGCGGCTCGCCGATCACGCGCTCCGGAGTGATAGGAACGGTGTGTGGTGCTCGCGGAAGAATTGTGAGTGGATGGTTTGGCCCCCCTCATTATCTGCACCTGTGGGGGGGATATTTGTATATGAATACACCCATCTCTATTCATAAGACAAACAGCATTCACCATATGTAGATGGTGTCACATTCTCCAAAACTACTAAGTTCCAAAATATCCTAATTGTTAAATACAAATATTGGTGCAGGGTGAAAATAGGAGCTCCAACGCTTAGTGCACCTAGGAGAGGACCCCAGCAGAAGCAGGGATCCAAGCCAGTTGGCCTGGTGTATCAAGTGTTGACACTGACTTTGAGGTAATTACAGGATCAAGGGCAAATGTAGACCAACTTGAGGCAGATCTGTGTGAACAGTTGAGTCTGTTGGGTAGATGGGAGTGGACTCTAACTCCATCTTCCACTTGTCCTGCCAAACGAGTGTGGCAAGGACTAACTTCTGTAAGGAAGGTGATGGATCAGAAGGGTGGAAATTTGTGAATGGGTGAGTGACAGGTAGAAGGTCAAGCGCTGCATTTATGTATGGGAGAGCTGATGGAATGTGTTCTGTGTTTGGCCCCTAGCGTCTCTGGTTGCAGGAGGTTGGGGGGAGTTATAGGCAGATACGGATGCTCAGCAGTGTAGTTCAGGAGAGGATGCTTTTCTGTGCTCTGATACTAGTTTTGTCTAATGTTTCTGAAATCACCAAATATTGTAGTAACAATAACAAGGGTAGTATTATCTTTAGAGACTGTAGAGGCTCCAAATTTTTTTTTCAGGAACAACCATTGCTTGCCTCTGGTTATTCCAATGCAAGATGAACGGGAGCCATTTAACATTAGCGTTTAGGCTGAATCTTGCACAGCCAAAGATGAACTGCTACAACAATGTGTGGTGCCTCCTTGTGAATCTTGGCATTTTTTAAAAATCGCTGCTACACAGCAAAATAGGCCTATCAGGGTAGCCCATTGTGCATCAAACTTGTGCTATATCTGCCTCCTTGGCCATCATCTCTATTCAGTATGGTTAAGTAATGAAATCTATTTGAGTTTGGGGTTCTAATGTTATAACCTATCACAGTCAATAATCTCTGCACACTCACTTTTGAAGTTGCTCTTACCTTAGAATGACCATGCGAATATACAAATGTTTATGAATAATTTTGTCTGTACACATTCATAACCATTTTTGCCCTCAAAATCTATATGTGGGTGCAGCTGAATTCCTCTTGCATACCGTGGGTCTATGAAAAGCTTTGTGTAAACTGAAGAGCATCCCAATTTCTGTATTTTTGTATATATTTTTTTCATCTGAGTCCTGTAATGATAATCATGACTGCAAGTTCAAAACTGTGTTTTTGTGAGTTTCTTTTTCTGAAACCATTGTATATTTTTTTAAATCAAAGCACTGGGAAATGGCTGACCTGGCCTTGAAAAAGGACCCCCACCACGTGGGTTCTATAGTTTTCCGTGCTGAAAGGCAGTATCATGTAAGTAGAGATGGGAGGAATTACAGTAGGTGCCCCGTATCTGTGGCAAATTGGTTCCAAGTCCCTTGTGGAAGCTGAAAACCATGAGCAATAGCAAACACTGTGTGTATAGTATGGTAAAAGGAATAAATCCAGAAACAAGTTTTTTTCACTATGTATTACAAGAACTGGCCACTAGAGAAAACCGGAGGCCATGCTATTTATTATTACAGTGGTGCCTCGACTTATGAGCATCCCGAATTACAACCATTTCAAGTTACGACCAGCTCCAGCCACAAAATTTTGCTTCGACTTTTGGCCTGAGCTTCCAGTTACAACCAAAAAAAGGTGGGGGATTCAAATTGCTAACCATTGATGGTGAAGAGGCTGCTTCTTTGTAGCTCTTTCGCCGCAACAGTTAGAGTGAGTGCAATCGGAGGAGGCTTCGGACTGCCTGGTAAGGTAAGGTGCTGCTTTCTTCTTTTTAAAAACTGTTCTGGGTGAGTTTTGCAGTGTGGTTTTTCTTTGAGCTTGGTGATGGGATTATGTTTCTATGCCATGATGGGTCTTGTGGGGTTTGTTTGTTTTCCCCCCATTTCTGATGGGTATTGGGGGGGTTGCTTTTTGTTTTTCCCCCGACCCATTTCCAATGGGTCTTGGGTTTATTTGCTTTTTGGTCCCCTCCCCATTTCTGATGGGTCTTGCGGGGTTTCTTTGCTTTTTGGGTTCCCCACATTTCCCATGGGTCTTGTGGGGTTTACTTGCTTTTTTTTTTTTGCATTTCCGAAGGGTCTTGCATGGTTTGCTTGTTTTTTGCTTTGCTTTTTTTTTGCATTTCCAATGGGTCTTGCATGGTTTGCCTGCTTTTTGCTTTGCCGTTTTGCATTTCCGATGGGTCTTGCATGGTTCGCTTGCTCTCTGTTTTGTTTTTGCAATTCTGATGGGTCTTGCATAGTTTGCTTGCTTTCTGCTTTGCTTTTTTTGCATTTCTGATGGATCTTGCATGGTTTGCTTGCTTTTCTTTTTCTTTTTACCTTCAGTTGGAACAGATTAATCGCGTTTCTGATGGATCTTGCAGTGGTTTTTCCTTTTTTTGGTGATTTTTTCTTCCGCCGGAACGGATTAATTGCATTTCAGTGCATTCCTATGGGAAATGGTGCTTCGACTTACAACCATTTCAAGTTACGACCATCTTCTGGAACGGATTAAGTTCGTAAGTTGAGGCACCACTGTATTGTTGAAAAATATATAGCATACTCTCTGGCTCCCTCTAGTAGCCATTCTGGTAAATACAATGTGAAAATACATATTTCTATATTTTTCTTTTAATATTTCTAATACTTTAAGACTGCTGGTAAGTGAAACTATGGATACCAATCCTATGGATACAGGGTCCTACTGTAGTTTTTGAGGTTACAGCTTCCAGAATCCCATAGCTAGCAAAGCCAATTTGTTGCAATGCCCCAAAGAAGCTTTTCCTGTCTTTGATTTTCAGCAACAAATCTGATCTGCCTTGTTTGTGAAAGAAAGTAGAGTCAAGCTCACTTTTCAATGTGACTTGTTCACAGCAGTTCTTCCACTCTGCCCTTACCTTTGCTTTTGGCACACTTATCCTCTGTTCTTGCAAGAAGCTATTGTTAGCCTCTAAGGGTGATAGGTTACTCTGCTATGTTTTCTGCTCTTAGAAATATGACAACACTCTTGCTGTTTTTTTTTTAAAATCAGTCAATAGTCAGACAAAATTTGACCTAAGAGTTTCCTATTGTTATTGTTATATTAACTTTTCATGCTTTAATGTTACCTTGTTTGAGTCTCATTCTATATTTTGACAATTGACCGTTATACAGTAGTGAGTCTGAAACTAATTCTACCCCTTTTCCTCTAGAAAGATACGTATTATCCTACCTAGTTTACAAACTAAGGGGCATGTTATGACAATGGAGCAGACAATTATAGTTATAGGTGTACAAACCATAAAAGCTTGGATAACAGCAGGAGTTTGGGGGCCAGAACTTTCTCTTAGTAATTCTGTCATTTTGTCTTCTGTTTATACCAGTATAGCAAATGGGAAAGCTTTTTCCTATTGAGATTCACATTACTTTTACTTTTGGTCTGCATTCCAATAGTGGGTAGGCCCAATAACCTTTAAAAGAAAGGGTACACTCCCCAATACCAAAATGAAATCAAGAACAGATGGAAGGCAGGCCAGAAGCCTTCATCACGAACGTTGGGGACCACTGTTTAAACTTGCAGTCTTACAAAAAACAAAAACAAAACAAAAAAAATCATTGATCTAACGTTCTCCATGAGCTACAGTAGCTTCCTTCTGCATGGATGCTTAAGTAACCATTCACTGACAAACTAAAGTGTGTTTTCCCTTTTAACTTGTAACATATTTATCAACTCAGACTCAGATGTAACAATTTCAAGAACCTTTATTGAAGCATTTGGGAAGTATCTAAATCAGGTCTGTATTCCAGCAAAACTGCCTGCTTAAAAATATAAAAACATTAAAGTTTGTTTTAACAATTATAACTTTTACTTTTTCTCCCTCAGTTAATCCAAGTTAATTATAATTCGTTGCATCAAATAAACTGTCACGGAAGACAATAATTACATTTGCATTTTAAAGGTCCACCTTTATTTGGGGAACCAACGTGAGCTTATCAAAGCAAGTCCATGTTTTAAATGAAGATTTCCCAGCCTCTTGCATTTTGGAGAGCGATGAGGAAATATTTAATGGACATTGAACAAACAGCCCTCAATCGAAACATCCTAAACCAGTGCCCAAACCCCACAACCATTTTGTCAAAATCCACTGACAAAATTCTCTGGAGACTACTGTAAGCCCAATCCAGTTGAGGTCCTTGAAGAAGAAAATGGGCTTGGTGAGATGAAGCATAAACCAGATGTTGCCATAAAGATTGTACTTAATTTTTTCCCCTCCAATCCCTGTAATACTGGATTATTTATGGTGGCAAACAGAAACTGTTGCAGTGGTGGGCATGTCTTTTTATAAGAGGTGCTCCTAAATCCATCTCCTCTGTCGGGGTGGGGTGTTAGGGCTGGCTGTACTTAATTTTGCACAAACAAGAAAACCACAAGAAGCAAGCCATCGACCGTAAGAAAGGCCTTCATGAAATAGGATTACTCATCCTTTTGGCAAAGTTGCCATTCTTAACCATGTGACCTTCAAACAACTGATCAAGGTTTCAGAAGAAAATTAATCACGTCAGGTCACTCTTACAATTACGGTCCTCTGGGTGTGATGAGATGCAAGCGCCAGAGGAAAAGAAGTCACTCACTAAAGTGAAGGCATAATTACAACGGGGAGAAATACATTCCTGAATGCTCTTGGCTTTAAAACAAAAAGCTTAGGACATCTATCTTTTTAAAATAGCACAGCAGCATTTATATAACCTAATAATTTCTTTGGCTATTTACAATATCTAACAACTGGAAGCGATTGATCAGAAAAACCCAGGAGTACAGGAATGATCACAGGGGTGTGACATGTCAATTCAAGTGTTTTACCAACATCTGTCAAAAGAGATGCAACGTAAAAGAGCCAGGGTGATTGCGACTCTTGATGCAAAACGTGCCATTTGAATTTGATTCTAAATGGCTTTTTAAGTCGAGAAATGGAAGACAGGTTATTAGCTCCCAGGAGAGGCTACAGAAAGGATTTATTAGAAAACACGGGCCTTGGACATTCTCTTATAACCTTACTACATGTGGGAAAGAGAAAAACCACAGCAAAGGTTCGCTTTTCTATCACGGAACACATGAAGCAAAATTCTGAAATAAGATTTTCATAAAACAAAGCTAAGGTTTAAAAGACAGGTTGGCTATGGACATTGTTTTCCTATTAAAATACAACATTTCAACATAATAGAGTAATCACAGGTTGATTTATTTAACAGAAATTAGAAATGTTTGAATATCACCATCCAAAAGCACCGAGTGCAACTTATCTTTTGAGAAATGAGATATTTGGGAAGAGCACGGCTGATAATAATAATAATAATAACAAACAAATCCTTCTTTAGGATGCCCCCAAAGTCAAGTTGAAACTGTCCCTTGCAAACTTCCTCGGACGTGTGAATGTACGAAAGGACAAAGAGGGATTGTTAACAAAGTGTACAGTAAAAACAAGGCCCCACAAGCAGGTTAAAGGGTGGAGGAGAGAAGAATTCTTCTGCTAATCTTTGTGCAAAATCTCCAATCACATGTTAACAGTAGGTATCACTGTACTAACTATGGCACTGTTCACATTTTAATCTTTAAAGGACCCTGCTACAGAGGGAGTGCATTTTCTGTAGTCTGAATGTGCAGCATCTAGAATTTTATCTCAAACTCTCGTGTCCCTCAGATGTACTGTAGTCCGTTCCTGGGGTCCTGGTCTTGTCTCCCGGGGTGTCTTCAGTTGTTTCCTGGCTAAGAATTTCCATCTCGTCCGGCTGCTCGGCATTCTCTTGGCCGACCAGTGAACTGCCAGGTCGTGGCTCTCCTCTGTCCAGATCATCAGCATGACTCACCGAGCTGGTCTCACTGAAACCATCTGAATTCCTTAAAGACCTTCTAAATAACTTTTGTCCTGGGATCAAAACATTTAAGATTTAAACATTTATTACCGATCTGTTTATGTATGTGGTATAAGTCACGATTTCAGATATCTGCTTTTGTTACTTGTACAATGTCTTGCCCCTTCGCATGACTAGCAGAAAACAAATGATATAGAACAGGGGTTGGCAATACATGTCCCATGGGCTGAATTTGGCATCCTGAGCCACTACAGCCTCCCCATTTTAATTAATTTTTTTTGCTTTTGAGAAAAAAAATTTGCTCAAAACTTCACTTGTCTTCAGCCCCCCCCCTTCCCCACAATTACCCTTCCAGATACACCCTGCCATTTTAGATCACCACTAAGGGGCACAAAGGGGCTTTTCATATAACCTTATTTTAAGTTAAACCCATTTTCAGTCAGCAAAATCCCACTGTAGCACACTTTGCAAGTACATAACCACTATACTGGGGGAGGGGAGTGTGGGGAAACATATGAATTAGTTTCTTTGACCCTGCCCTTCCCAGTCATAGAATCATAGAATCACAGAATAGTGAAGTTAGAAGAGGCCTAGAAGGCCATTAAATTCAACTACCTGCTCATTGGAGGAATACAAATCAAAGGATATCTGCCAAGTACAGTGGTGCCCCGCATAGCGAGGTTAATCTGTTCCGGATTAACCCTCGCTATGCGAAATCATCGCTAAACGGGTAGGGAAAAAATCTTTCTTACTTACCCGTTCAGTGAGGATTTTTTCCCCATTGCGACGATCGGGTATGTTTCCGTATAGCGATCCCGAAAAAGGGATCGCTATACGGAAACATCGCTATACGGTGCACTCGTTAAGCGAGGCACCACTGTAGTTGTAAGTTTCTCTTGAATGCCTCCAGTGTTGGAGCACTCACCACCTCTCAAGATAATTGGTTCCACTCTCTTACTGCTCTGACAGTTAGGATGTTTTCCCTGATATTCAGTTGAAATCTGGCTTCCTGCAACTTGAGCCCACTGTTATGTGTCCTGCACTCTGGGATGATCAAGAACAGATCTTGCCCGTCCTCTGTATGACAGCCTTTCAAGGATTTGAAAAGTGTCGTTGTATCACCCCTGTCTTCTTTTCTCAAGGCTAAACATACTCAAATTTTTCAGCCTTTCCTCATAAGGCTTAGTTTCCAGCCCCCTGATCATCCTTGTTGCCCTCCTCTGAATTTGTTCTAATTCGTCAGTATCCTCCTTGAAGTGTGGTGTCCATAACCGGATACAATGCTCAAGGTGAGGCCTAACCAGTGCTGAACAGAGGGGAAGTATAGTTTCCAGGATTTGGAAACTATACTTCTGTCAATGCACCCTAAAATAGCATATGCCTTTTTTTGTAGCCACGTTGCATTGTTGGCTCATATTTGGCTTTTGATTTATGACAATTCCAAGATTTTTCTTGCTTGTAGTATTGCTAAGTTAGGTATCCCCCATCTTGTAACTGTGCATTTCGTTTCTTCTTCCAAGGTGCAGTATTTCGCACTTATCCCTTGTGAATTTAATTCTGTTGTTTTCAGCCCAGTGTCCCAGCCTATCCAGATCATTTTGAATTTTGTTTCTGTCTTCCAGAGTCCAGCCTACAGCAGCTGCAGTAGTAAATCTGAAAAATGGCCCTTTATTGAGATCATCCACCCTGATACAGAATATGCAAATATGCACATTTTCTTATCACATCCCAAATGAGGATATTTTTTCCAGGTCCGAAATTTGTATTAATCTGGGAAGATATTTCTTAAAAACATGGTGCAGACAAACTGCAAAAACAGGTATAAACCTTCAAGATTATCAGTGTATGAAAAGACTGCGTTCTGAGGTTTGCCATATTCTCAGAAGCCAATGAGCGGCAGTTCCATCTGTCATAAAGGAAAGTACTGCCTGTCATTGAGATTCTATAGTACTGGCAGTACTACAGAAGCAAATTCTAAGAAGAGCAATAGTTGATGGGTCCAAAGGTTCTACATTTCCATCCAAAACCTGATTTCAGAGGCTTAAAAGAGTACTAGCTGAGCGAGGACTGAAACTGGTGTCTTATCTGTCTTAATTCAACACTACTCCACATTGTCTCTCATTAGTCGCCCTCCGTCCAATCGTTAATCCCCACAGGAGGAGATCTAATGAAACAGCAAGAATCTGGTAGGGTCAATACTTAAAGAGGCTTCAGCAATTCAGTGGGTCTACTCTAGCTTACAAAAAACACTTGGATACAGGCTCCTGTAAACTGCTTTTCGTTAAAAAAGGACGAGAGAAAGACTTACCAGGAAATCTGTGTTTAGAATGACTTGATGTAGGAGTTGGAGGTGGGGTGATTCCTGTGCCCTGCACTTTAGATATATACGTGGGCTCGGTAGACTCCAAAGAACCTGCCAACAAACAAGGGTCGGCAGCACATCAGGTACAAGATAAAGACAATAATGACAGTATTAAAAAAGAAAAGAAAAAAAAACCCTCCCCTTTTCTAACAAAATAAACCTGTGCTTAACTTTTAGTTTGGAAAATGTAGGGTGCGCCTCTGTCACCTGCTTGTTACCCTTGAGGTCAGACTGCCCATAAAAGCCACCATGGAAATGTATAGCTGGGCAGCAAAAATGGGAGAAGATTACTGTTTTCATGTTCCCACTTCCCAGGGGCATGTGAGCCGTCCACTGTGGGAAACAGGATGCTGGGTAATGATCATGGTTCGTTTTATTTATAGGGCGCCTTTCTCCCAAATAGGGGGGACCCAAGGCGGCTCACCATATTAAAAGGAAGAGAATTAAAAAGAGAATAAATTAAACCTTAAAATCAATTTAGTTATATGCTAGATAAAATTCATTTGAATAAATAAAGGCAAGGAAATCTTTAAAGCTATCTTAACTCTAAGAAGGCATTTAGGGATTCCATCATGATTACTAAAAGCCTGCCTGAAGAGACGGCTAAAAGGATAAAAAGGGGAGGCCTAAATGTGCTTTTGGTCCAACTCGAGTTGACCACACGCAGCATGAGAGCCACTCAGAGTGGTCACATAGACCAGATTTGAATAAATAAAGGCAAGGAAATCTTTAAAGCTATCTTAACTCTAAGAAGGCATTTAGGGATTCCATCATGATTACTAAAAGCCTGCCTGAAGAGACGGCTAAAAGGATAAAAAGGGGAGGCCTAAATGTGCTTTTGGTCCAACTCGAGTTGACCACACGCAGCATGAGAGCCACTCAGAGTGGTCACATAGACCAGATGGGCGGGGCGGGAGTAGCTGGGATTCAATCAGCTGCCGGCAAAAGGATAAAAAGGGGAGGCCTAGATGTGCTTTTGGTCCGACTCGAATTGACCACACGCAGCAGGAGGGCCCCGTGCGCCCCTGCCTGGCTTTAAAAGGAGACCTGACATTCCTGGAAGCCTCCAGGAGCGTCAGGACTTCTTGTTGTTTTCTGTTCAACGGCTGCCCCTTCTGGATTTTATGAGAACAAAAGGGGACTTCTGACCACTTTTGATTTTGTGGGGATGCAGTGTGGTCCTGGAGGCAAAAAGCAGCTCTTGATACACTGAACTATGCTACAACATGTACAGGACTCAAGGATCCATAGATCCCGCACAGCCATTGGGAAATAAATATATGATCCATGCAAGATTCTGTCTGTTCATCCATTCATCTGTCTGTATATCTATTTAATATAAAATATAAGCTATGTGCTATACACCAGTATCATTCTGGAGGTCCAGGGGTGAACATGAACTGTTTGTTGCTGCAGCACATAATCTGAAATATTTTGATGAGCGGCATTCAGAAAGTTATATGTCTTACATTATCCTATGTTTTTCAGGCGGAGGGGTGTCCAAATATTTATTACACAGGAGTCATGCTGGCTGGAGGTTCACTCCAAGTTATACTCCTTGGATAAATCCTTCCTCTGTAAGTTCCACTGATTCAAATGGATCTACTCCACTTCTTGGATAAATCCTTCCTCTAAGTTCCACTGATTCAAATTAATCTACTCTAATTGCAACTTACTTTAACACAATAAATTGCATTTAAATTAGGCGCACTTGCATCAATGGAACTTACAGAGCAGCTGAATCATTAAATCCCCATTGATTCAATGGGCCTACTCTAGTGTGATTTACTATGTTAAGCAAAAGGATTTTGGCCAGCTAGTACCAAGATATCTAAAGAAGAGAGAAGATTGTGGGGTTAGAATGAGACTCATAGGATTTTAACTTGAGCAAACCTGGGTCCACCTGCTAGTATTAAAATACAATGAATAAGAACTTCAGAGAGAAGGAAGATCAAAGTCACCTCTACATATGACTTTATCCACTGACTATAGTTGTCAACATTTCCCTTCTAGTACATCATTCTTTCTGAAAATTCCAGGTTTTATCAAGTTTTACAATTTTGAAACTTGAAAAATTAAAAGTATCTGAGAATTTCGAGAAGCTCAAGCTATAAATGCAAAATTCAGTTTTGTAGAATAGCTGATATTGCAAAAACATTGCAATTTTAGGTGACTTTTTAAATTACAAAAATCGACACCCTCCCAAGGACTAGTTTCATACCTAGGGAAAACACCAGATCTGATTCCAGCTCATTCAACTTTTTCAGAAGTGCACTATTAATCTTTTCCATTTCTGTCTCCTGTTTGTCTTCATTTTGGCCATCGTACCTAACACAATAGAAAGCCATACACATTAAAATTTCTGGAATAAAACACAGACACTTAGAAACTGCCAGAGTGAGATGCACAACCAGTATCAAATATGGTTTACATGAATTAAATGTTAGTAACTTGGAGAGATGTATGTGTGTGCTTCCAACAAAACAAGAATTTTAAGACAAACTCCTTGTTCAAATAGGCTGCTTGTTTAAAAGATGTGTCGAGCTTCTTTGGAAAAGGGAAGTGTTAGCAATGAGTTAACTGTTGACTTTTGATTTCAGAGAGTCACTGTAATACATCCTCAACCCTGGGCTTCCTCAACCAAGAGGTAACATTTTGTACAATCTGGGACTTCTCTCATGCTCCCTCGCCCCTTGAGGAAATAATGAACAACCTTCTGCCTTTCCCATCCTTCAATTTGAATCTACAGCACTGTTCTATTTGGCAGTATGAGCTTCTGACTGGAGACACCCTGCACTGCTGATCAACCTGCACCCCTGAAATCAAGCCATTCTGAGGAGTGATGTATATTCCGTTGCTGAACTTCGTTTGCAATCCTGTGTTCATAAATCGTTGCTTTCTAAACATGGGTCATCCACAAGCGGTATTTTGCCATTCTATTGTGGTATGAAGGTCACCCTGGCTTCCTGGAAACTATGCCAGTGAGCAGACACCCTCACAGGTTCTCCCACCTGGGAGTCTGGCCACAGCAGCAGACAACAGGCATACTGCCCAAGGAGCAGTATATAGAGGTTCGCCAGCAACACATTCTTACAACTAGGCACGGAACAGCTCTTCAAGATATGGAGAGTATGGGGACCCAGGAACATGTATATTCTTTGGGTGGCTTGCAAAACCAAATCTATAATGTAATCCATACTAACAAAAGTGAGCTTCTGTCTGTTAGTCTGTTTGTCACTGTATCACATGCAAATGGACAAATTTTCACCAAATGTGGAGCGCAGGTCTGGGACAATCTGACTTAACATTTAGACTCTGAGCCATACATGAAAATCATTTTGGGAGCTCTCAGTAGCACCCTAATGATTTTCCCTAAATTATCTGGATATCACCGTATCACATGCAAATGGGCAATTTTCACCAAATGTGGAGCGCAGGTCTGGGACAATCTGACTTAACATTTAGACTCTGAGCCATACATGAAAATCATTTTGGGAGCTCTCAGTAGCACCCTAATGATTTTCCCTAAATTATCTGGATAGAGTCTCATCGTATTTAAGGGTATATTTGTGATGATCTATCTATCATCTATCCATCTATCCATCTATCCATCTATCCATCGATCGATCGATCCATCGATCGATCGATCGATCTATCTATCTATCTATCTATCTATCTATCTATCTATCTATCTATCTATCTATCTATCTATCTATCTATCTATCTATCTATCTATCTATCTATCTATCTATCTATCTATCTATCTATC